TGGGAGCAACGCCGAGGGTTGCGATCCCGTTGCCGGTCCCGGTCCGGTACGGGCGCGACACTGAGGGTTGCGATCCATTGCCGGACACGAAAAAAGAAAAAAAAAGAAGAAAAAAAAAAAAAGGCATATTAGGAAAAAATCAAGCACGAGAATGAGTAACGTTAATCTAACTTTCTACCACCAGAAAAAGTTTTGTTAACTTTTTGCTATACGTCTTCTCAAACTTTTTACATGAAAATATGATCCCATATTTAAACAAAAATAAAACTGTTTTATACAGATAACTGTATCCTACTCAACATTTTTTACTTGCTACCCAGTATTTTACTAATATTTCACTAGTTTTTTAAATTAATCTACTTGTTGACCTTTAGATAGTTTCCACTTTTTTAATACTCTAAGAATACTAGATTGAGCAACCCTATCATCAGTAAAGCATACAAAGCTTATTTCCTTTACAATCTCTTTAGTGGAGCGCCTGTGATGTGTATCACAATCTGGTTTAATTCTTATTCAATTATAAAATAATTTTCTTTCTCTACTACCTTGTGGAGATGTTTTCTGGCTTGGGAGATTACATTTCCCTAACAAACCATCAATAATACAGAGTAAGTGCCACAAAAAGGCAGAGAAGAAATCACTGTAGACTGGGACATTTCCCACCTCAGGGAAAGCTCTCTTCCCCCAAATCTGCTTCCACACCATTGCCCAAGCTACAGCTTCTTCTGCATTCACCATCTATACCAGCCTAGTCCTGCCATGTGAATGCAAAATCACTCACTGCTGAGGAGTTTCCTCCGACTACACCTGCTGACTAATAGATCTGCAACATAATCAGCACTTTAGACAAGCCCAAGTACAAAATGGAGTTGCCCACCTCCTCCCCTCCCCCTTTCTCTTTTACAAGAAGCCTCATGGTTTCAGAGAAAATGAAACTTTCGGCATTTCAACATGTGCAGAACTCTCCATTCCCATGACCTAACTCAATCCCCACCCCAGAATTACACCACCCAGCTCTTGACGCCAACATACTTATATAAGCTCTACCACCCCCACACCTTGTGCTGTCCCCCATTTTCAGGGCAGCCCCAGGCTGTTCCCCACTTTGAGCACAGCCTGGTGGATTCTTTTCCTTTAATAAAGCTTGAACAGTACCCGGCATCTCGGCTCACTTTCTTTCACTGACAAGGAAGTTTTCTTCCATCCTTCTAGAAAATCACCTGGACCCTTACCATCTACTCCCATATGTTAGCTGGTCTTCAATTCTGTGAGGGCAAAGGTGGTGCCTCTCCTCTTTGAATCTTTAGTGTTATGAAGGAATTAGTTGACTCCTTCATGTCTTTGTTCTCCAAAGTCAAAAAACATACCCAAATCCTCCACAAAGCTTTGGGTGTGGCTGTAGCAGTTGGGCTGCATTCAATTAGTCAACAAATACTTAATTGCTAAGTGAAGAATTCATAAGACTGGACCTGAGACAAAGGAAAAAACTTCCTTCTAGATTCCCTCACCTACCAGGACCTAGAGCAGCTCAACAATGGATGAATGTGTTTACCACTGGTGAACCCTCAAGGCAGTTCACGAAAGAAGACTTCACTCACCTGAACCTGGGCTGGCAGCAACCTTCTGGCCATTTCTCCCTCCCTACTGACCCTTTTGGTGAAGGCACCTAGAATGGAGAAAGAAGCTGTGAAGTCTTTTCATCCTGCCTGCACTCCTGCTCTCATTAGGCCAGGCCAGGTTAGAAACCTCCACACTCTGAGCACCTACAGAAAGGGAACTCCACACAACCCAGGCATTCTCAAGCCAGAGGGGCCCTGGGCATGGCCACGAAAACCAGGGCAGCAAGCATAGTTCCAGTCTACCTGCTACCTTTCAATGAGTGACTTATGAATAAAGATGAATCATGCTAAGGAATTAAAACCAGCTAATGTGCATTAACATAGTAAAGGGCACAAACATGCATTGCTCACAAAGATGTCAAATTAGTAAGAAATGGCAAATATTCCACACATCTGCACTTGGATATTGCTCGAGGTGAAAAAAATAGTATTTGAAGAATTGATGCCCTTTTCAAAAATACCCAAGCAAAATTTAGTCCTCGCTTTTCTTCCTCTTGGAAGTTTTGAATCCTTTATCAAAAACAGTTATCAAAGTTGTTTAAATGTAAAAGGAAGCAAAAGAGCTCAAGAGGAACAGCATCACTGGCTAGACATGAACTCAAAATTTAGGGAAAAGGGAAGTAACTTAGAAGGTGAACAAAACTACTCTAGACAAAAAGAAAATATTTAAATCACTCTAGGATTCAACTGTAAGAAAACACTGCCGAACAAGCCATATAGACAAAAATAAATATAGTAAACCTGAAATAAAGTTTAAACTCCGGGGGATTGGAGATGGGGGGAGGGTGTTAAACCAACCCCCGCTGACCGCCGAAAACCAACGGCTCACGAGAACCCTGAAACAAGACACAGCTTTTTCGTCATCTCTTCCCAAGGGCCCTTTCTCCAGGAGCCTGGCTGAAAGCTAAGGCCCAGGGGTTAGGCGATGGCATCTGTCTTCGGGTATCCGCGGGGGGACCTACCCAGGCAACGCCCCCTCCCCGGGCCAAGTTCACCTGCCGAGGCCGCAGCGGCTCGGACGCCCGAAGCCGGAGGTCGGCGAGCACTCGCGCCGCCCGCGGCCCTCCGTCCGGGGCCCGCTGCAGAGCCGCACGGCCCGGCCCCGCCCC